AATCCTAAACATGAGACGGATCGCCAATATTCTTTTGGAGCATAAAAACATGAAATACTGGATGAACGCTCAACAAGCTAGGTGGCAAAGCCTGCTCATAAGCCATCTCCCCAATCCTCTGAAGCACCTCAAAAGGCCCAATAAATCGAGGACTCAATTTATCCTTTTTCCCAAATCTCATAACACCCTTCGTTGGTGAAACCTTCAATAGAACCTTCTCCCTAACCATGTAGGACACATCACGAACCTTCCTATTAGCATAACTCTTTTGTCTTGACTGTGTTGTACGAAGCCGCTCCTAAATCACCTTCACCTTGTCCAAGGCATCCTACACCAAGTTTGTACCCAAAAGCCTAGCCTCGCCCTGCTAAAACCAACCAACTGGATATCTACACCATTTCCCATATAAAGCCTCATATGGAGCCATCTGAATACTCGACTGATAACTGTTGTTATATGCAAACTCCACGAGCAGTAGAACTGATCCCATGAACCCCCAGAATCAATGACATAAGCACACAACATGCCCTCCAATATCTGAATAGTACGCTCAGACTGCCCATCCATCTAATGGTGAGAAGTTGTGCTCAACTCAACCTGAGTACCCACCTCTCGCTGCACGACCCTCCAAAATTGTGAAGTAAACTAAGTACCTCTATCTGAAATGATGGAAATTGGACACCATGCAAGCGAACAATATCTCGGATATAAACCTCTACTAACCGCTCTGAAGAATAGGTAGTACACACAGGAATGAAGTGCGCCGACTTGGTAAGCCGATTTACAATCACCCAAATAACATCGAACTTCTTTAAAGTCCATGGGAGTCCAACTACAAAATTTATGGTGATCTGCTCCCACTTCCACTCTGGAATATCTAACTACTGAAGCAAGCCACCCGGTCTCTGATGCTCATATTTCACATGCTGACAATTGAGACACTGAGATACAAATCCCACAATATTTTTCTTCATTCTTCTCCACCAATAATGCTGTCTCAAGTCCTGATACATATTTGCGGCACCCAGATGGATGGAATACTGCGAGCTATGGGCCTCCTCCAGAATCAACTCCCAAAGCCCATCTAACTTGGGAACGCATATCCGGCCGTGCATCCTCAATATTCCATCATCACCAATAGCCACATCTCTGGCATCGTTGTTTTGAACCTTATCCTTAAGGATAAGCAGATGAGGACCATCATACTGGCGCTCTCTGATGTGATCAAACAAGGAAGACCGAGAAACCACACAAGCTAAAACCCCGACTGGGCTCCGAAATATCCAACCTCACAAAACGATTGGCCAAGGCCTGAACATCAACTGCAAGAGGTCTCTCCCCAACAGTAATATATGCCAAGCTGCCCATACTCACCGCCTTCCTACTCAAAGCATCGGCCACTACATTGGCCTTCCCCGGATGGTACAAGATAGTAATATCATAATCCTTTAGCAGCTCCAACCATCTTCGCTGCCTCATGTTGAGATTCTTCTTCTTGAACAAGTGTTGGACGCTACGATGATTAGTAAACACCTCACAAGACACACCATAAAGATAATGCCTCCAAATCTTCAACGCGTGAACAATGGCAACCAACTCTAGATCATGAACATGGTAGTTCTTCTTATGGGGCTTCAACTGATGAGAAGCATAAGCAATCACTCTACCCTCTTGCATCAACATACACCTGATACCAACTCTCGAAGCATCACAATACACTGTATATGAACCAAAAGCTGATGGCAAAACTAATACTAGAGATGTGGTCAAGGCAGTCTTAAGCTTCTGAAAGCTCGCCTCACACTCATCTGACCACCTAAATAGAGCACCCTTTTGAGTCAATTTGGTCAAGGGTGATGCTGTAGATGAAAATCCCTGTCCGAACCGACAGTAATAGCCCGCCAAACCAAGAAAGCTGTGAATCTCTATGGCTGAGGACGGTTTGGGCCAACTTTGAACCACCTCTATCTTCTTTGGATCAACTTGAATACTCTTACTGGACACCACGTGCCCTAAGAAACCCACTAAACTGAGCCAAAACTCACACTTAGATAACTTTGCATAAAGCTTCTCCTCCCTCAATTGCTGCAATACCACTCTCAAATGCTCCGCGTGCTCCTCCTGACTACATGAGTACAACAAAATATCATCAATGAATACAATGATAAATGAGTCGAGATAAAGTCAAAACACGTTGTTCATCAGATGCATGAATGTTGCTGGGGCATTGGTCAGGCCAAAAGACATCACAAGGAACTCATAATGACCATATCGAGTCTTGAAAGCTGTCTTAAGAATGTCCGAGTCCCTGATCTTCAGCCGGTGATACCCTGAATGAAGATCAATCTTGGAGAACACCCTCGCTCTGTGAAGCTAGTTAAATAAATCATCAATACGAGGCAAATGATACTTGTTCTTGATTGTGACCTTGTTCAACTGCCTGTAATCAATGCACATCCTCATAGTGCAATCCGTATTCATCACAAATAGAACAGGTGCAACTCACGACGACACACTAGGCCAAATAAACCCCTTATCAAGGAGTTCCTAAAGCTGCTCCTTCAACTCCTTCAACTCCACTGGTGCCATACGATACGGTGGAATAGAAATAGGCTGAGCTCCAGGCACCAAATCAATACCAAAATCAATATCCCTATCTGGTGGCATGCCCGGAAGGTCTGCAGGAAACACATACAGAAAGTCCCTCACTACCGAAACTGAATCAATGGTAAGAGTCTCTGCAATGACATCGCGCACGAAAGCTATGTACGAAAGAAAACCTTTCCCAACCATCTGCTGGGCCATCAGAAATGAAATCATCCTATTGAGGACAAAATCAGTCGAACTTTGCCACTCGATCCGTGGCACACCCGGCATTATGAATAGAACGACACGGAGATAACCAATCCATGCCTAATATCACATCAAAGTCCACCATACAAAGCAATAGAAGGTTCACCAGGGTCTCCAAACCCCCAAAAGTCACCACATACGACCGATATATATAGTCCACAACAACAACATTGCCCATCAGAGTAGATACATGAACAGATGAAACAAGAGACTCACGAGGCGTATCTAAATAACGAGCAAAATATGATGACACATATGAAAAAGTGGAACCAAGATCCAATAAAAAAGTGGCATCTCTGTGGCAGACTAAGACAATACCTGTAATCATCACATCTGAAGCAATAACATCGGATCTGGCTAGGAGTGCATAAAAATGGGCCTGACCATCACCTAATCGGCCTTCCCCTCTAGGGCGATCCCTAGTTGGCTGGGTGGGTGGTGAAGTAAATGGTACTGAAGTTGATGGTTGACTCCTCTGTTGAGATGAACCCCCAAGACGACGAGGACACAGTCTCCACATATGCCCCACCTCTCCACACTCATAACAACCCCTTAGTGCTAGAGACGAGGACTGAAGGGAACCCCTAGCACTGGGATGACAGTAGAAGAACCTAGCATGTAATAGCCCTGAACTGATGGAGCACGGGACGAGTTTTGGGCTGGAAGGGCACTAAGTGAGGAATGGCCCTGATGAGAACTATGAGAACCATGGCCCGATGATGCCCCACGATAACCTGGGCGAGCTGACTGAGCATGCCTGAATAGACGACCTCTGTCGTGCTGAATATAACCTTCGTGAGGAGTACCACTAAATCCACCCTGACCACAAGGCCTCTTAGCCTCCTTCTCAACCCTCTCCTGGCCACGAACCATCTCAATCTATCGAGCTATGTCAACAACCTCATCAAAGGTAGCACTAGATACTCTCTCTCTGGTCATGAGCAGCCAAAGCTAAAAACCAAGGCCATCTACAAACCTTCTAATCCTCTCCCGGTCTGTGGGAACCAACAAAATTGCATGACGAGCCAACTTGGAGAATCGCATCTCATACTGTGCAGTAGATCTGTCACCCTGATGAAGCTGCTCGAACTGCCTCCGCAACTCCTTTCGACGAGACTCAGGTAAAAACTTCTCCAAAAAGAGAATGAGAAAGGGGCGCTGCACCAACCGGCCTACGCCTCTAGTAAGCCTCCACCAACTAAGTGCAGCCTAGGAGAACTGAAAAGTAGTGAATGAGACCTCACTAGTCTCCAAAATACCCACGGTCTGAAGAATCTTCTAACACTTTTCCAAGAAACCTTGGGCATCTTCGCCCTCTACACCACTGAAAATCGGAGGCTAAAGTCTACCAAACCTCTCCAATATGCGCTGCTCATCCTCGGGCATAATAGGAGCTACATAGTAATGAACAGCTACAACCGGCTGGGCTGGAGGTGCCCCCGGTGTCTAAAGTCCCTGCACAACCTGCTCAGCTGTGTGAGCGGCGGGAGTTTGAGTGCCTCCCCCCGCTTGAGAAGTAGTTGCGGCTGTAGTAACCAAGACTTCCTGAGCTAGGCCAATGCATACTGATAGAATCTAGGCCAGGGCCTCCTGAAGGCCTGGGATAATAATAGGCACAGCCGGTCCCTGAGATTGTACTGCTGGAGCTTCCACAACTGGGACCTGATCATGAATTGGAGCGACTGGTGGATTTGGAGGTGCTGCCTTGGCTGCTGTACGGGCTGCACCCCTGCTATTACCACAGTCTCGACCGCATCCTCGGTCTCTAGTGGCCCCAACTAGTGGTACTAGTGGTCGTCCATCCTGACCAGTAGCACGTGTCATCACCATCCGTGAGAAACTAGAATAACAGAAATTTAGTTACCAGAATCAATAGATTCGCACGACAGGAATTCAAGAATGTGATGTTTCTCCTAAAGGTTCTACAGCCTCCCGAGGATAAGTACAGATGTCTCCGTACCGATCCACGAGAATCTACTAAACCTGATCATGACTTGTGAGAACTATGTAACCTAGGCTTTGGTACCAACTTGTCACGACCCTAAGCAGACCCGGTCGTGATGACGCCTATCATGAAACTAGGCTAGCTGACCTAAATGCCAATTCAAACTATTCATTTATAAAGGACAGTTTAAGGCATTGATTGATAATATTTCATAACATAAGACTAATTAACCAGTGCATAATAAACACACAAGCTCGACATCAGGGTGTCACAAGTCACAAGCAACTACAACTATATCTCAATACAATAAAGTCCGAAAAAGTATGGAAGACAATACTAAATAAATATAGGGAAGATATGAGGGAGAAGAACAGTGCTGCGAACGTCATGCAGCTACCTTGTCAACTCAGAGACCTGCTTAATGAACGATCAATGCTCACTATCATGAACCGCAACTCCTGGATCTGCACACAAGGTGCAGGAAGTAATGTGAGTACGTCAACTCAGTAAGTAATAAAAGTAAATGAAAGTTGAGTAGTAAGAAAATAGATAATTCCACGTCATAATGCCACAAAAAATACAGTGCATTTCCCAAAACAGTACATAAATCATTTACCTCGTAAAACAAACTCAGTTTTAATAAAGACTTTCCTTCTAAAACAACTTTCAATAGTTTCAAATGAGTGATGAAAACAGTGAGTAAAAATGATAGAAACGTAAACAGCCCTTCGGGCAAAACATATACCATAATCCGCCCCTCGGGCAAAATATCAATAGAACCAGCCCCTTAGGTTAACTCATAATCAGCCCCTCGGGCAACAATACAAATCAACAATAGCCCCTCGGGCAACATCACATCACACACACTGGGTACCCATGCTCACTGGGGGTGTTCAGACTCCGGATGAGATCTTACAGCCCAAGCGCTATCACAAGCCATCTCGTGGCATAATAAATCAGGCCTTTGACCACTCATATATCACAAATCAATACAACGTGTTGCGGCACGCAGCCCGATCCCATGATATCCTCACAACACAGGACCTCGGCCTCACTCAGCCAGAAATCTCTTAAGCCGCTCGAGCAATAGTAAAACAGGACTCAGCCCAAAATATCACTTAAAGTATCAAAATAGAGTAAATATGGCTGAGTAGTGAAATTAGTAAAACAAAGCATGACTAAGTACAAATATTAATTTAAAATAGTGAGGAATATTAGTAAAAAGCCCATAATGGTCCAAACAGTTGGCACGAGTCCCAAATATGGCATTCAGCCCAAAACATAGTAATACTTTCCAAAACACAATTGTATCAAATAGTTTTCAATCAAATACGAGATTTAATAGTGATATGGGACGGACCAAGTCATAATCACAAACGGTGCACGCCCCCACACTCATCATCTAGCATGTGCATCACCTCAAAGTAGCACCAAAATGTGAAATCCAGGGTTTCATACCCTCAAGACAACATTTTCAATCATTACTTACCTAAAATCGGACAAAACTCTAGCCCGCAATGCCCTTGCCTCTCGAATCGCCATCCAAATGCTTCAAATCTAACCAAAATTAGTATTATATCATTAATACATGCTAAAGGAACAAAGCCCAAGCACAAATAATCAAATCAACTAAAAAATCCCGAAATTGGCCGAACCCGACCCCCTTGGCCCGTAAAGCCCCAGAAAATTTTGCTAAGTAATTTAAGATTTCGTGGTGCCAAGGTAGGATAATTATTTTATTTTGTGTCCAAATGAGGATTCATGATATAATCTATATTACTTGGATATGTTAATAAACGTATAAGTCATATTATAAGTGATTTGGGGTTTAAGGAGAGGCCTAAGTCTAAGCCAAGTTGGAAAATTACATGATAGACTAAAACTTCAAATGAGTACGCACAAGAAAACACTTTGGACTACCATATATACATATATATAAAGATTTAGATGATTCACAACCTATCAAATGAAAGGCCTTTGAGTATATTCTCTAACGATTCAAACCGTTCGCCATTTGGACTTTCCTACAAGAAGTTATGACCAAATTACCAAAGGCTGGCGGAGGACTGCACGGATGCGAAGCATCCGAGGTAGCATCCAAAAAGAGGAGCTGGAGGTGAAGTGCTGCCATAGCAAGTGGGTCAGCATCCGAGCTCCTGAGAGGAGTGAAGTGGGGATGCGAAGTATCCGAGGCAGCATCCAAAGTTTGGGCTTATAAACACAATTTCGGGATTCATTTTCCCCATATCTTTTGGACGACTTTTAGGGTCTTCCTCCACTCTCTCAAGACCTCCAACACCTCCAATCTTCAAGGTAAGCAACCTCCATTAACTTGGTGTGAAATTCCATCATTTCTACACTTGTATTGATGAAATCTACTCATAAAACACATATATCTTCAAGAAGTTCCTCCAAGAACTCAAAGGAGGGTTTGCAAGATTTCTTCCAAAAGGTAAATCCTACACCCTTAGACTTACGTATATGGATATATTATGGGAATGTGAGTATGAATTAAGTATTGTAACTCATGGAATGGTTATTGGAAGCCATAGGTGCCTAACCTAGGTTGTGTTGGTGTTGTAGAGATTGTGAGATGGGTTATTGAGGTATGATTCTTGGATGTAATAGTATAATGTATACATGTGTGTACAAATTCGGTTTTGTGGGAAGATTGTTGAGCATAAATAAGTAAAGGTTTGGTTGGGGAATGAAGGAAATCTTGTAAAAGAGATTTGAAATCAAGATGCTCAACTAGTATTTGATAAAATGCTCAAATGAGCTTAAACCATAAATACCTTCCTAATTTTTGTTCAATTTTGTTATGTCTCAAATAGATTGGGATTGCTAGAATTTCCGGAACGTTGTAGTAACTTAAGGAAAGCTTAAACAAGGTATGTATGGCTAAAACCCCCTCCATTTAGAAATTGAGCCTCCATGGTGCCCGCGCAAATGTTGTAAGCCCGGAATTCGATTGATGTGGTAATTGTTATGTCAAATAAATAGATATTGTGAAAATGTATGTGGAAGGTACTTCTCCATGTGTTTAGTGTGTTATTCTTTGTAAATTGAGGATGTGTGAAAAAACATAAGCTATGTGCTAAATGCCTAAATGTCAAGTCAAGATTACATTGTGACTAATATGCCGAACTAGATGAATTTCTCTCTATGTTTATAACTTAATTTTCTTTTGTATGTGCCTATGACCCTAAGTGGCAAGGTAAATGTTGAAAAATGAGAATAATGCAAATTGTGAGTTATGTAAGGTGGTAATTGTGGCCCCAAGTGCCAAGAAACTAATTCATATGAATCCAAAGATTGAAGTGAGATGGCTAACTGAAAAGGGTAACGTCTTGGTTAGACGGCTTAGCCGATCGGGCCGTGATCGAACGCCATGTTATATACACATGGTGGAAATATATTGATAATTGAAAATGAAAAGTGAGAATAAAATAAGAGTAACGTCTTGGTAAGACGGCTTAGCCGATCGGGCCGTGATCGGACTCCGCTCAAGGAAGCGGTGGTAATATGGATGATGATGCAACGATAAGGAATGTCCCAACCCAAAGAAAAAAAAAGATTTCAGAAATTATGTGAAAACTATGTGAATCTCTTATATTATTTATGTGATACTTATTTGAAGCTTTGTTGATCTTATGATTTCTTTTATGCTTGTATGGTTGTTCTTTCTAACTAGATGGTGTTTAGTTATACATACTAGTACTATTCCATGGTACTAACGTCCCTTTTTTCGGGGGCACTATGTTTTTTTAAATGAATATAGGTGGCTCCATTGCGGACAGTGCCAATCGCGCGTAGCGGAGTACCTTCTTCTCAAAGTCTTGGTGAGCCCCTTTCTCTTCAAGGGATTATATTGTACATTTTTTTTGTGGACTTCCACTTTTGAGGTATTGCCAAAGCCTTGTTGCCGGCATTGTCATAATTGTCTTTTGTATCCTTAGAGGCTCCGTAGACATATCTATAGGTTATGTACGAGTGTTGGATGGGTCTACGAACTATGTTGTAATTCTAACTCTCGCTTCTCTAAAGTGAAATTGTATGGAATCTTGGAAACTTAACTACGGTTTAATATTGTGATATAAAATGAACTAACAATGTTAAACGTACTATCTTTCCTTATCTAAATAGATGAAAACATAGTTTTCTCATTTATATTGAGTTGGGTAGGAAGTGTTGATAAGGCTTGCTCGGTTGGGTTCACTCGATTGAGCACCGGTCGCGCCTCCCGAGTTTGGGGCGTGACAAACTTGGAATCAGAGCCTAAGGTATTAAGGTGTCCTAGGATGTCTCGGAGTCGTTCCTAGTAGTGTCCTTCTTATCGGTGTGTAGTCGACCACATCTATATGTTGGAGGCTACTTGGGCATTTAGGAATAACACCCTTTTTTGATATTCTGGATCATGTGGTACAACTTGTTATGAAACTATTCCCTTTTCTAATTAGTTCATTGTTCTATCTTTCAGTAAATGGCACCTAAGAAGAAAGCAAGAACTCGCCAAGAAGCCAATGCCACCTCAGGAGTGGCTGGTGATTCATTGCTTGACAATATGGGTAAGGGTAGTCGCCCTGCTATCACCATGTCCGGTTCTTCTATTCCAAAGCAGACTACCCAAGTTCCTACACCTAAGGAGGGTACTACTATCCCTCCTATTGATACTCATATTCCACCCCCAGCCCCAACTTCCAGTTCTGGTTTTCTCATGTGGATATTAGGAGAGCTATTTAGATGTTGACCCAGCTAGTGGCCTCTTAGGCCCAGAGGTCAAATGTTGCGCCTAGTTCATCTAGCCAGCAAGGGGATTCTACTAGTTCCAGGGTGAACAGATTTCTTCAGTTAGACCCTCCAGTGTTTATGGGTGCCAATCCAGAAGAAGACCCTCAGGATTTTATTGATGAGATGCACAAGACCCTCAGGGTTATGCGTGCAACTGAGACAGAGGGAGTAGAGTTGGCTGCCTACCGTCTGAAAAGGGTGGCCTATTCGTGGTTTGAGTTGTGGGAAGATTCCCGTGAGGAGGGGAGCCCTCTAGCGAGGTGAATCGAGTTTGCTGATGCTTTTATAGATCATTTCCTGCCTGCCGAGACAAGGTTAGCCCATGCAGCAAAGTTTGAGAATCTGAAGCAGGGTAGCAGAAGTTTGTGGGAGTACCATATGGAGTTTGTTCGCCTGTCTAAATATGCTATTCATATGTTTCCCACAATGGGGGCTAGGGTGCATCGGTTTGTTCAGGGTCTCAATCCTTTAACTATTAATGAGGCTTCTACAACTGCATTGAATTCTGACATGACTAATGGGAAGATGGTGGCATTTGTTCAGGTCATAGAGAATTGTAAATTGAAGAACATAATGGAGAGAGAGGGTAACAGAAAGACCCGGTCTATGGGCATTATGGGTGAGTCATTCGGTGGGGGAAGATCAGCTTTCAGAGGAGGATAATCAGGGCCGTCCCAGTCTGTTGCACAGTCTTTAGCCAGTGCACCGCCATCAGGGCCCAGCCAGCAGCAACAGTGGAGTCGTTTTAGGCCCAGTCAGGGCAACAAAGGATCCTATAAGCGGGGTCGGTCAGGAGAGAAATCCAAGCAGCAGTAGAGGTCTCCGTGCCCTAGGTGCGGGAAGATGCACTTAGGGGTTTGCTACTTGGAGTTACCCGTAGGTTATGGATGCGGGATGAGGGGCCACATTCAGAGGCATTGTCATACATCCCACCAGGGAGCGGGTAGGGGCACAACACAATCATCCAGTCCAACAACTACTACATCCTCAACCCCCTCTCCAACTCAAGGTACCCCAGCACCCGCAGGACGTGGTGCAGCTAGGGGTGGTGCGCAGAGTTCAGGAGGACCCAGCCGATTCTATGCTATGAGTGGTCGCCAAACCATAGAGGCTTCTCCAGATGTTGTTACAGGTATTCTAACTGTCCAATCTCATGATGTGTATGCACTTATTGACCCTGGTTCCACCTTGTCCTGTGTTACACCTTTTATTGCTATGGAATTTGGGATAGAACCGGATCATCTGCATGAGCCATTTTTGGTATCTACTCCGGTGGGTGAATCTATTACGGCTGCTCGAGTTTGTCACACCTCCTTTTTTACACTACACCTATAAAGGGAGTTTTTCCAATTAAAGGACAATCGAAACGGGATTATTTTATTTAAAGATTTAGAATCGCCACTTGGGAGATTTATAGTGTCCCAAGTCACCGGTTTAAAATCCTGAATCAAGGAAAGGTTGACTCTATATTACAGTTCGCGAACCAGAAATTCGGGTAAGGAATTCTATTAACCCGGGAGAAGGTGTTAGGCATTCCCGAGCTCCTAGGTTCTAGCACGGTCGCTCAACTATTATAATTGGCCTATTTTATCTGATTTTAACACATGTTTAAGCCTATGTGTATTTTAACCCTTTTTAAAAACCGCCTTTATTTAATTTTAAGAAAAATTCAACGTTATCAAAAAATACGTCTTGAACCACATCACATAAATGCACCCGTAGTCCTCAACATACTTTATCTAACTTTGTTAAGATTTGGATTTGGGTCACCTAAATGCGCACCCGAGTTTAGGAAGGTGAATTTATTAAAATAGCGCGCCTAAAGCAACTACGCGTTTACAACTTCGCGAGGGATATGGAAATTCACTAAATGGCACGCCTCGATTTCTAATTTCAAAGGATTTTATTAGTCAAAGTTGTTATAATCGGGCTACATGAAATGCACCACCGAATTGAGATTCACATATCGTAACCATGCCATGGGAACAATACCCATGGCCACTAACCAATCACGCCACTATTAAACCCAACTTCTATTAATTCAAATAAAAATAAACAAGGCTTAACACTAGTATTCACTGATTTTTAATTCAACTTTCAAGAACAAAATTAATAACAATAGATCAATGCTACATGCTCATAAGATCAACAAAGTACAAAGCCAAACATGTCAAAGTTGTTCAATTAGCCATACTGTATTCGTGAGTGGATGATTCAGAAAAGATGACATATAAAACATGTCAAATCGCGACATGTAAAGTTGTGAGAAACTTTTGTCCAAAGGCTAAGCTAAAGCAGCTGCAATATATAGAACTATACACATGGACTAATCAAGCATGTATTTGAGAGCTTGACCAGACAGAGATAATAATTATAATTACCCTACTGTTTCATCCAAGTCAATACAAAGCACACCTTAGAGCAACAGAAATTTCAATCTGAAGAGGGCCACGGAAATTCAACACAAATTCAATCATTTTCCTCATTTGATGAAAATATAATACAAGGAACTTGGCACTAACCTACTTGAAATCGAAGCTCAGCCAACAGCAGCCAACAAATCTGGCAATCAACAATGAACAACTCTAAATTTCAACTTGAAGAATAGCTATCCGACCTTTGAACTAAACGGAACCAGTGAACGGACCTCGACAAGGAACCAAGGGAAACGATTGTCGAAATTCAGTCATCGAAGCTCAACCAGAAATTCGAGACTCACCGGAAAAGGGTGTTAAACGAGTTTTTTAACTCCTCACTATTTTCAGCGCCTTTGTTCGTTAGCTCTAGAGCTCGAAAGTTGTCATTGGACTCCCTGCCAGCTCTGGTGATGAAGAAGATGGTTTGGTCTCTTGAAGAAGGGGTCGCGTCTGGAACTCGTTAATCCGACGAGCTGGTGGAGCTCGTTTTTCCGGCGAGTTTCAGGCAGAGATGGGGTCGTTTGATGATTAACGTTCAGGGGTCGTTGGCATTTTTTCCGGCGAGCTGGGTTGTTCCAAGTTTGGGGGCTATTGGTATATGGGGTTGATGAAGAGAGCATGGGTGTTGTTTGGTTTGTCTCACGAAGAAGATAAAGTTATGGAAGGGGTTGTTGGAGAAGATGGAGTCGGGGGGTGGGGGTGCTTGAAGAAGACGACGCC